ACAATAAGTAACCCGGGTATTGCACAGGGCACAAAACTAGTAACTAACATATAAAGTTAAACTTTTAGTCAGGCGACGAGGCAGCGACACTTGGCGTTCTAACTTTTCGCCAAGTGTCATGCCACGTAGAATAGAGTTATATAGATTTCAATTTGTAGGATAAAAAAGTTAGTTTATAATTTTATTTTCAATCAAATTTGGATAGAATTTTAGAATAAAATTGTTAATTTAGAGTTTTACTTTTGATAAAGTACCTGTATTTAATATGTGCAAATTGAATTATAATTTATTCAAAAAATAATTAGATTATAACTCTCATAAATTATCATACTTCGTATAAATTTAATTTTTGTATCATAATATTTTTCATGAGCGAAGGAGTTAGTTCAAAATGTACTACATCCATTGTTTATAATATATTCTAATCAAGTAAAATAATATACTTCACAATATATCTTAAAATTCAATAAACAACCTGGGCATCGCACGAGCACAAAACTAGTACAATTATATATACTTGTATATAACTATTAAACAAAATAAAAAATAAAAAATTACCAAACACCATTCCTTATGGAGATTGGAATTACCAAATTGCCCATATATTTTCACTCTTTTTTTTTATTTTTCCTTAATTTACTCCCAGTCTCTCAAATTGGTTCTCTTACAATTATCTTGCGATATTAAAGGGAGTTGTTGCTGTCGGGGGAATCATGGTGCTCTCGTCATCTATGATGTTTTACAGGTAGCTTAAACCCTAATTATGGCTGATTAATTAGTACAACCATTAAATTTGATGATTTTCGCCTATTATTAGGATTATCTTGGTTAATTTATTTTCTTCTGTATTGTCTTGTTATTAAATTTTTAGAAAATTAAATTATTGGAGAGGTTGGGAATTTTGAAGCTTTGGTTTGTAGTGATCATTATTGGGTTTTTGTTTGGATTTTTGATAATTGAGCTGTATTTTTTTGTTAGTTTTTTTTAGTAATGAAGACATTATGATGAATAAATTTACATGCTTTTTTTAAAAAAAAAATTAAATAAATTGTTTTTACATGGTTTTTATTAAAAATGATTAAAGTAAGTAAATTCCCTACTTGGACTAGGAGTTATTTAAATGTGATGAAAGTAATATATCTAAAGATTAGTTATTCAGTAATCTCGACCAGCAGCAGGAATTGTGATAGGCATGGGGATTATTGGGGGAAGTGTTGAGCGATTCTATAGGAAATAATCCCTTCCGTATTCCATTATTAGAAAGTGTATAAATACAAAGATTACACAAAGCACTAAGCTATGATTAATAAGGGGTGTGAACATAAACATAATAAATACAAAGGGTTAAAGGGGAGTGAACCTAGAGAATATACATCTAGAAATTACACAAGTATTTACATAGTCTAATATACCCCCGCAGTCGAAGCGGGAGATTCGCGAACGCTAAGACTGTTTCAAAAGTCTTCAAAGAGGAGTTGCGGAAGACCTTTGGTGAAGATGTCCGCAATTTAATATCAAGAGGGAACATGAAGAACACGAACTTGACCAAGAGCAACCTTTTCACGCACAAAGTGGATGTCTATATCGATGTGCTTGGTTCGTTGATGTTGAACCGGGTTGCTTGAGAGATAAACGGCACTAACATTGTCACAATAAACAATTGTGGCTTTCTTAATGGGACAATGAAGCTCGAGAAGGAGATTGCGAAGCCAACAAGATTCGGCGACGACATTAGCAACACCACGGTATTCGGCTTCCGCACTTGACTTGGAGAGAGTGGGCTGCCGTTTGTCAGACCATGAGATTAAATTTTCCCCGAGATAGACGCAATAACCGGAGGTCGATCGGCGCGTATCTGGCATCCACCCCAGTCCGCGTCCGAGTAAGAAATAAGGATGGTTGTAGGTGAGGCGTAAAGGTGCAGCCCGTAGGAGAGGGCGCCTTGAAGATATCGTAAGATGCGTCGAATGGCAGTCATGTGTTCCTTCCTAGGGTCGTGCATATATAAGTAGATTTGTTGAACTGCGTATGAGATATCCGGGTGGGTGAAATTCAAGTATTGAAGCTCACCGGCAAGACTCCGATATAATGTCGGGTCATCGGTGGGAGGCCCGGATGAGGAGCTTAATTTTTTCTTGGTGTCTACCGGTGTTGCCGATGGTTTACATGAAGACATATTAGCCCGAGCTATAATATCCGTGGCATAAGATTTTTGGGACAAAAACATACCACTCGAATGCCGAGTAACCGAGATACTGAGGAAGGAGCTTAGGGGCCCAAGATCAGTCATAGAAAATTCGGAGCACAAACGGGCCATAATAGATAGTCGGAGATCATCGGATGAGGAAGTGAGAACAATATCATCGACATAGAGGAGGATGTATGCCAAATCCTTGCCATGAGAGTAAATGAAGAGAGAGTTGTCTGATTTACTATGAGAGAAGCCAATTGTAGCAACAAAGGAGGCAAAATGGTAGTACCAAGCCCGAGGAGCTTGTTTGAGCCCATAAAGAGCCTTCTTAAGAAGACAAACATGACCCGGTTTGTTTTTGTCACGGAGGCCCGGTGGTTGGTGCATGTAGACAGTTTCAGAAATATCACCATTCAAGAAAGCATTTTTGATGTCCATTTGGTGAATGGACCAAGACTTAGAAAGAGCAATGCTAAGAACAGTCCGAATTGTCGCCGGTTTGACCACTGGGCTAAAAGTTTCATCACAATCGACCTCCACCTGTTGATTCCTGCCATTAACCACAAGACGGGATTTGTGCCTCTCAAAAACACCATTAGCATCCTTTTTATGTTTATAAAGCCATAGGCAAGGAATAACATTAACATTCGGAGGAAGGGGCACCAACTCCCACGTCTTAATTAGTTTTAATTAGAGCATCGAATTCAACCATCATGGCATTTTTCCAATTCGGATCGGAAAGGGAAGCAATGGGATTTTTGGGTAAAGGGGAGAAGTAGTCTGACAATTAAGATCAAAAATATTTTTGGGTTTATAAATCCCATGAGAGCTCCTGGTCTGTACAGCTAAAGGGGAGGGGGGGCTTGCTTGGACGCTGACCCAACTAAGTGTGGGCCGGATTAGAAGGTGGGGTGTAGGGTGGGCCTGATCAGTTGGGCTAAGAGGAGTGTTGATAGGTAAAGACCCAAAATGGGTTGGAGTGGGGTGAGCAAGAGTGGGCCGTGAGGAGGGAGAGCCCACAGAAGGAGAGGGGGTTGGGCGGTCTGGTGAACCGAAATTGGAAGGATTGTGGGCTGAGTTTTGTTGGGCCGTGGGAGAGAGAGGGGGGAGGCACGTGGGCCTTTGTAGTAGTGCTAGGCTGATGTTGCATTTGTTGGACTAAAAAAAGGGGAAAGACCATCATCAAGGAAGTCATAGTCCGTAGGTGAGGGAGTGTGAATTTTGGCAAAAGGGAATTGTGTTTCGTCAAAAATCACGTGACGGGAGATGAAGATTTTTCGAGTTGACATGTCATAGCACTTATAACCACGATGATTAGGAGGGTAATCTAAGAATACACAAGGTGTGGAACGGGGTTGGAGTTTGTTGATGGTGGTAGAGGGAAAGAGAGGGTAACAAAGGCATCCAAAAACCCGTAAGTGAGAGTAGGAAGGGTTTTGTTGAAATAGGATAGATGTTGGTGAATCGTAGGCTTGAATTTTTGTTGGGAGAATGTTGTGGAGATAAGTGGCCATTTGAAGGGCATGATGCCAAAATGAAGGTGGCATGGAAGAGTGAGCAAGAAGGGTACGGATGGTATTATTAATAGAACGAATTTTTCTCAGCTCTCGGCCTTGCCATTTTGAGGAGATGTGTGAGGGCAAGAGAAGCGGAAGACCATACCATGAGAAACACAAAAATTACGAAAAGAATCATTATCATACTCTCCACCATTATCACATTGAAAACATTTAACATTACACTCAAATTGAGTATTAGCATAAGCATTTAATTGAAGGAAGAGAGAATGAACTTGAGACTTTCTAGCAATTGGAAAGGTCCAAAGAAAATTAGTATAATCATCCAAAAATAGAACATATTAGTGATGTCCCGCTCTACTTAGTTTAGGAGAGGTCCAAATGTCAATGTGCAAAATGTCAAATGGCAAAGTAGTACAAGTAGTGGATGCGTAAAAAGGAAGTTTCACATGTTTTCCAAAAATACAAGAAAAACAAACAGTAGATTTTAAATTTTTATTACATTGAATAAAATCATTCTTCTTGAGAGAATCCAAAACAAGAGAACCGGGGTGGCCTAAACGGTCATGCCACAAAGTAGAAGAGAGAGCGACAAGGGCGGTGGGTGGTGAGGCTTCGACATCCGTAGGTGCATATCCAACCGAAGAAGGCGCTTGAGCAGAGAAGGCATCTTGTTGGTGCTGTTGGGGTCGTGGTCCTAAAATACCGGGCTGATGCGGCCTAGGCCCAGCAGGGGGACGCTGCCATTGGGAGGTTGGATATGGGAATGGTGGGATAGCCCATGGAGAAGAAGCCCAGGCAGCCCAAGGTGGGAATTTCCACCCTTGAGTGCCGTTCCATTATGGAGGCAGAGGAGATTGGGGCTGTTGGTGTTGTTGTTGTTGCCCGTAGCCACGGCCACCACGACCCTTGTGCTTCCGGCCACCATTGTTGCGCCCCTTGTTGTTGCCACTGCGACCACCATCGCGGCCACCATTAAATTGCTTCTGTTGATTTCGATTGCCATTGTGAGGAGAAGAGTGAAATTCATGGTTGGGTGAAGAATTACCCGCAACAAGGAGAGCAGAACCCGTAGCATTGGCTTCATTAGAAGCTTGATTGGCTTGTCGAGACTCTTTCAATAAAAGCATCGATCGGGCTTTTTGAAAAGGAACAGGAGGGTCGGATTGTTGGAGCAGAGCAGCAACATTGTCATACGCCTTTGGAAGGCCACGGACGAGAGTGATGACAAGACGATGATCGGAAACCTTGGCCCCAACATTGGCGAGTTGATCCGCAAGCATCTTAATATGTTAACAGTAGGCAGAGATGTTAGGAAAGTTGTTCAAATCAATTTGAGAAAATTCAGTTTCGAGTTGAACGGCACGATTTGTTTGATTATCCTGGAAAACATCTTTCAATCTACCCCACGCAGCCTCGGCAGTGGAGTTCGGTTCAAGGATGGTATTGAAAAAGTCGTTGGATATGGTGCTATATATCCATTGGAGAACAATAGCATCGAGGCAAGCCCAAAGTTCAGGGTCTGTTTTTGACAGAGGAGAAGAGTCATCGGTGTTGTCAGGGGAGGGAAGAATATGATCCAACACTTGATGAGCACGAGCGTTAATCTTGAATAGCTCGACCCAGGAGATGTACTGAGCACGGTCCATCTGAAGAACAATGGGAATTACGCTCTTTATATTGTTGACAGTGAAGGTGGGATGAAAGGCGGAAGCTTTTGGAGCTTTTGGTGAGTCACCCATAGTGAAAAGAGGATCGGCTAGAGGAAGAAGCTAGAAAGGAGAGGAGAGAAGATAGAGAGGGAAAAACTATCCTGATACCATATAGGAAATAATCCCTTCCGTATTCCATTATTGGAAAGTGTATAAATACAAAGATTACACAAAGCACTAAGCTATGATTAAGGGTATGAACATAAACATAATAAATACAAAGGGTTAAAGGGGAGTGAACCTAGAGAATATACATCTAGAAAATACACAAGTATTTACATAGTCTAATAGATTCAATATGGAATAGAATGAATGTAAGGTTATGGAATTGATACTGTTATATCGATTGTGGTACTATAAGCAATGAGAATAACACCGGGAAGGGTTCTTTATTCGGGATGAAGTAGGATAATTTAAGTAAGTGCAGGAAAGTGGAAAGATTACTAGGTTTCTCTCTGATTTCTTTAGCTTTCATTATGTCAAAAAGATGATCAGGTTGGTGTGAATAGAGGTCAGGAATCTGTATAAAAGCATTGAGCTCTACTTAGAAGAAATTCGAATGGTTTGGCTGTGAGAAATTTGAGAGAAGTGTCAGGAAACTTGCCGTGTAATAGAATTTTTTCCTGCTAACAGGGAGTGAATGTGACCGATCTGTGATGCAGTAACTTTGGACTTTTTGCTAGGGTTCCATGAAGAGGCTAAGTAACATTTTGTACATGTTCTGTTGTAATGGGAATAGTCTTTGCACGTATAAGTATATCTTAACACTATTGCTTCCCGTCAAAAAAAAAAAAAAAAAAAAAAAAAAAAAAAAAAAAAAAAAAAAAAAACACCATTGCTAACATGATGAATTGGTCACTGCTAGAGTAGTTAAACATCTCTCATTATTAATTTACTTAATTTAATTAAATTCATAAATAGGAGAGCTTAGTGTTTCTTCCTCCCCGCTCCGTTCGATCTTGACCTTGCATAATCATAGTTCATCTACTAAAACTCTGAATATGAATAAGAGAACATTCTTGCAAATGTGAAAACGATCAGGAAAATATAAGGGCCTTTTAAATTCCGTAAATGATGTTTAAGTTTGATTGCCTTGTTTACAGATGCTCAAAATTTGAGGTTCTTTTAATTAAAAGCAGCAAAAGTGTCTCTGAGGCGGCTATGATGGAGGTGGCTAAGAGGTGCCCTATGCTGAAAAAAACTCAATATTAGCTTCTGTCATAGTTCCATGAGATCTCTCATGAATCTCTATCATCAAGCGGGAGAAATTATCCTCATCTGAAGATACTGAAATGCAATTTTATGAACTTGCTGAATTCTTTGTAGCATAGGGGAATTGTACCAAATGAATACCTCAATGCTTGCCCCCAAGACTTTGATTCTGAAGCTACTACCATTAGTAAATTCATGCCTAATTTAGAGCATCTTGTTAATGAATACCTCACAAAAAATTAACGTTCATAAATTCTAATTTTTTAATCCTCATTCTGTCGTTTGCTCATTCATTTAACAGATAAAACAAACTAATATGATAATGAATTTTGTTAATGCTCAATAAAATTTATTTAAAAATATGAATTTTTTTTAAATTATAAAACCATCAATAGATTTCACTTTAATTTATTAAAGTTATTTTTTAAAACAATTTACTATTAAATACAAAAAAAATGACCCGAGGCATCGCCCGGACCTCAAACTAGTTGTGGATTTATTTATTGATATAGAGCATTTGTATAAACTAATAAAAATTACAAACTTCATTTGACTTTTGTAAGAGAGAGAAACCTTGAAGCTTCAAGAGGCTCCCCTGGCCAATGTGTAAGAATATCAGGGGTATACGCCAAAATTCTCTCTCTTTGTCTCTCTAAACTATATATTATATCAATAATAAGCTCCAAGACTTGAGATACACAATAAATCAAATCCCTCCATTGTTGGAGAGATTTGGAAGGAAAATGGAAGATCTCCTTCTCCCTTCCCTCTTATTCCTTCCCATTTTGCTCACTAATATGGACATCACTAGATGTCGTATGCCTGTGTCTAATATACTTTTGAATTTGAACATTTAGCTTGATTAGTGTAACAGTGGGAATCTTATTTGTTGGTTGGTCTCTAAACTCACCAGCCAAATTAAATTATTATGATTTTGTTTCATTCAGTTTGCTCAAGATATCACATCTTTTAGTGAGACTATAGAATCCTTCATGACTACCTGGAAGTCATCACAAGTTGTGATGACTTATGAGTGGACTAACTTGTCATCAGTTTCAGCTGTTGTCTAAATTCCACTACCTTCCAATATCTGTGCATACCACTTTTTTGTGCTTCTGTCGTTTTGTGGTTGGGGATGAAATTATGTGTGGTCTTTATAATTTCTATTGTATCAAGTTCAGTATTGGTTTGTGGATATGATTCTAATTTTTCTTAAATTTATTTGGTGTAATGGTCGATGCTTAAGCATGCTGGATGTGAGTGGTAGATTACAGTATGATGTGTTTCTTTGACATGTTTTGACATAAAATTTTTGGTCATATAATTGTGGATATGATTCTAATTCTTCTTAAATTTATTTGGTGTAATGGTCGATGCTTAAGCATGCTGGATGTGACTATGTGAGTGGTAGATTACAGTATGTTGTGTTTCTTTGACATGTTTTGACATAAAAATTTTGGTCATATTATTCAGGGAGCACCCTTTGCTTCGTGATTGAATCAGCCTATGTTGATTATCTAGAGAAAAATGTTTTATGGCTGCCTGCAATAAATTCCTCTATAATGGCCTTCCATGTTTTCAGAGGAGCTTTTATGATTGGGCTTGAAGAATGTGTCTTTAAGAGAAAATATTATTAATTGTTTATAACTAAAATGCAACAGATTTGCAATCAAATTTGTGAAGTGTAATAATTTTGCTTGTAATTTTTAAAGTACTCCTGTATGGCTGCTATAAGTGCACATCACTTTGTATCTGTAGATATAACTTAGGAGAGTCATAGCTTTTTGTTGTAAATGATTCCTGTAAGGCTTAACAACTTGTTTCTGTAAACAAGGGTGGTTGTTTTTCAAGAACCACCCTAGTTAACCCGAGTATTTGAGACTCGAACCCGAACATGAACCGACCTGGAGATGACCCGATCCGAATATAACCCATAAATTATTGACTTGAATCAAACCCGACCTGAATTGAAATTGACCCAACCTGTTTTAATCCGTCAAAACTCGAATTTAACCCGGCCTGTACCTAACCTAACCCGAATACCCGACTCAAAATTCAACCCGATCTGTTACAAACCCAACCCGAAATCAACACGACTTGTTATTTACACGATTCGAAATCAACTCGACTTATTATTTTATACATCTTTATTATTTTTTTTTTGACACAAACCATCGCTTAGAATTTATTAAATCATCAAAAGTTCAACATCATTACAAATAATCTCATGGAGCTCTGGAGGATATTCCTCAAGCCACACTCCGGAGGATACATCTTTATTATTGTAAATATTGACTAGCGAAATAAAGATATATGATATATATTGTAATATACTTGTAAAGTCATAACTTCATAAGGCTTAAAGTACTCTATGTTAATATTGAAAGCATTTTGTCTTTACTTGAACCGAACCCGCAAATTATTAACTTGAACTGAACCCATCTTGAATCCAAGAACGACCCGACTTGGAAATGACCCGACCTGAATATAACCCACAAATTATTGACTTGAACCGAACCTGATTTAAACCCGACAATAACCCAACATGATTATGACCCGCAAATTATTGACTTGAATCGAACCCGACTCGAATCCGAAAATAACCCAAACCCGTTTTAACTCGTGAAAACCCGAATTGTACTCGACCTATTATTTACCCGACCCGAATGTAACCGACCTGTAATTAACCCGACCTAAACCTGATCTAAACCCGATAAGACGAATGACTCGACTCAAGCATGACTCAACCCGAACCCGGACCGCATAGGTTACAACATAACCCGAATTGACAGATCTACTTGTACATATGATTCATTATATTTTTGAAAAATTCTGTTGGAAAATTTATCTGGAAGGGACATATATGTTCACTATTTTGTTTAGAAGGATCTTATATATTTAAAGTGGTCTAAAAGAAACTTATAAGTTTATTGTTTGGGGGTCTTGAGATCGGAATCCGACAAATTTTTTTTTTTTCTTTGATGATAACCTCTCGCGTGACCTTAAAAAATTGACCACCTTTATCTTTTTTTTTTTCCAGATTTTACTCAAATAGTGATAAGGTTTATCCTATACTGCCCCAATAAATACAATACATAAATTAACGTTACGCGCTTCACACCATTCACAAAATCACAAACACCGATTTCCTTTTTCTCTCTCCTGCTTGATTGGTTCACTTTCTCCCATTTGTGCTCTTCTACCGCCGCAGAAGTCGCCGAAATGTCGTCAATCTTTGGTAATTTTTGAGAGCTAATGGCTTTTTTTTTTAGAAAAAATGCATGTCAATTATTTTGATGTATTTAGGGTAATTTATTCATCAGTTTAGGTCTAAATTCTGTAAAAACGACCCATTATATATAGTTCGATTAGCTATTAATGTTAGACAGCAGACTAAAGATTGTCAATTAATGTTACTGCGTTTGAAAAAAACTTTTGTGGTTACTTTATTCTGTAAATTTAGATGTACTCATCAAATTTCTTGATACTTGTTGTATACGAATTTCTTGTACAATTTCAATTCAAAAATATATTTTTTCATGTATTATTTTGAACCAAACCAAAGTCATTATACAAATATATAATAATACCAATATATAAAATTAAAAAAAAAAACATTACATGAAAACAAATAAAAACAAATTACATAAATTAAACAAAATACATGAAAGTATATATTAATTCCACACTAAAAATCATCTATATGCAAATACATCTATGCATATATCTAGATTTAAAATTATACAAAACTCTTTTTGTTTTTTTTTTGGAAAACTTGAAATTTATCAACAATTAAAATTGAATTTATCGGTAAAAAA